TTTCGGATTGAGTTTTGTAATCTATTAAATAAGGATTTGTCTCTTACAGCAGGATTGGGGAAAATGGCCCTCTGAAAATTCTTGGGCTGCAACTTTCATTACCAACATGGCCAGTGATGAAAGATAACAGTGTCTAGTGGTTCTCATATTTTTGTCCTCCAGGTGTTCTGGTCCATCCACCCTAAAAGTCCAAGCTGGTGTGACTAGCGCTCAGGTATTGGGGGATTCCAATCTACAGGACCATACTTTGAGAACCATCTCATCTAGAGGACCACAAAGTACCTGCCTATACTAGTGGTGGTGAACCTATGGTTCATGTGCCAGAGAGGGCTCTCAGAGCCCTCTCTGTGGGCATGTGCACCATCGTCCCAGCACAGAATTTGCCAGTTTGTTACTAGAAAGCCAGAGGGATGTGGCACTTTGTGATAAATAAGTGGGTTTTAGGTTGCAGTTTGGGCACTCAGTCTTTAAAAGGTTTGCCATCACTAGCCTAGAGCTTACCTCTCCTTCCTGTACTTGCATTCCTAGCTGCCACCACATTTGACTCTTTCAGAGAAGAAATGAATTACACATGGAAAGACATTCAAAATTACTGTTTTCCCCCTCTCATTTGAAAGATCCTTCCCTCCTCATTGTTCACAGGAGCTAGGCAGTTGACTTTTGTTAGTTTCTAATTCCTAGGGGAACAAAACAAACAGATGCTCAGTGTCTCCAGCTAGTAGTTTTGATGGGAAAATGGTCTTGTTCTGAGCAAATACATTTATGTCTTCAATTTTGATTCAGTTTTCCTTTTTAAAAAGTAATATTATATTATCACTATTAATGAATTAGAACAACTATCACTCCAGGGCTTATCCTTTCAGTTACCAATGCAGGTTTGAACCTCAGTGGATTGTATGGGTTGATAGGCTGAAGATTGATTGATCATTACTCCATATTAAGTGATCTTATATATGTGCATCAAGTGTAAGCGTTTCTTTCCTTGTACATTTGATAATTTTAGTCTAAGTAGAGGTATCTAAGCACACTCATTTGGCAGTAAGTCTCATTAAATATAGTGGTAACTAAATCCAAATAAATAACAATAGGATGAAGATGCACCCCTTCTTAGTGTTATCACAGCTCCATTGTTTTCTCCTCCTAATAAAGATCAGTATTAATCATGATCACTCTGTGCAGGTAGCTTTGATTCTCCTTTAATAATGACCACTGTTTTCCATAGCCCCCTATTTCAGGATACTCTTAGCTTCTACATCATCAAAGCCTATGTTGTTTGTACCTCTTCATTGCAATGAGATACACTTTTGACTTCAGAAGATGCTGCTTTGCAAAGAATTCCTCACAGAATTTACAAATTCAGCTCTTACCTAAGTGATGAGAACTCTGCTTTAAAATAGTCAAATGTAATATCCTGTGAGAAATATCTGGTCAGTCCTCCAACATGCTGCACTAGGAGCTTCAATAACCTCCTACCATCATGACTGTTGCTCCCAAGGGAATTAACCCTTGTATTCCTTACTGTTAGAGTTGTTCATTCCTAGTGGCTCATTATTGTAGCTTTTCTTCATTTACAGGCCAGGTCTTTCTCTGCCTGAACTAAAAGAAACAGCTGGGCCCAAGAGGTTGGGAAACTGCACTTTTGAGATCAAGGTCCTAGTGATCTGGTACAACTCTCTCAGAGATGTATTGGCATAGAGAAAACCTGAAAATCCAAGTCATAGTAATGGTGGAGGCATTGGCTCACTGTGCAGTCAGTTATGAAAGGCTGTCTTGACATCAGATATCAACCACAATGCAGTGGTTTGCTTTGGTTCCGAAGGGAGTGTTTCTTGATGCTCGTGTCTGTGCCAGCAGATGAGAACAATAGCATTCTTTATCTCCACTTGTTATGCATCAAATTGTTCATAGTGTGTTGAGTAACATGATCATGCATGGTAGGTGAAATGGTTTAGTATATAGGAGGGACTGTAAATGAAACTGCAGAGGACTAGCTGTATTATTAGACTGTTGCAGAAAACCTAACAAAGAGTCTTGTGTGATAGCTTAAAAACTAATGAATTCATTGTGAAATAAGCTTCAGGGATTCTGCATGATATGGTCATTCGAATGGGTACGTAATATGACTTATGCAGACAGTTATTTTACAAAGCCAGAAAGTGAAGCAGAATAGGACACAAATATTTGTCCCCCAGTACTGTATAGAATTTAAAGTAAATTTAAAAAAAACAGTCAGTATGGATGTGACTCATTCCAGCCTGGCTGTGTGGACTCTATTCTGAAGTCCACCAGTAGTTTCTCTGTGGAGTACCAGAAACCTCTTCAATACAGTCCAAAGTGATCTTTCAAAAAAAAACAAAAACATTCTGACAAATATGGCTAGAGAATCTCTGTAAAACAGCATTTCTCATAAGACATTCTACAAACCATGTTATCCCTGATGATATCTTAGCAACTCACCTAATTGTTAAGGTTTGCCAGTTACTGTATATACTCATGTATAAGTCTAGAAATTTAGGTTAGAAATTGACTCAAGAAACCTGAGTCAACTTATCTACAGGTTAATGTAAGTACTGTACTTTAAATCATATATAGATATCTATATATCACCATCTCCTGGTGAAATACAAGCATTTAATCTGCCCTGGAGGGACTGACCCGCTTCTACTCTTTCATCCATCCAGCCTTTTGTATGAGCACAGATAGTTATTATGCCTGCTGGAATTTTGTAATTTCGTTGGCATTGTTTTTCTCTGCTTTGTCCTTTACATCCTTAATTACATGTCCTGACTTATCCACGGGTCACATCAAAATCCATAATTTTGGCCCCAAAATCT